TGAACCGTCGTGCCACTCTGCGAAGATCTATTTGCACGCCTCTATAGAAAAACTGACGAATCCTAATGCCGTATTCACGTATGAAAGCTCTCTGCAAATTATATAAGATCTGTACTGTTAATTTCATAGCAAAGAAACCAACCGCTCTACGTATTTCTGCTTCTATATATAACATGAGCAACTCCAATCCGCTGACCGTGGTTCGCGCAACGTCGCCATGTAGATGAGCATGATAATTCACTTCATCGTCAAACACAGACTAAACATTACCTTTGCTAAAAGTGAAAAGATGATGCAAATTTCCAGACGAAAGATAAAATTTTAAAAATAAAACGAAAAATTGACTTGTTTTCTGAACTGTCCTCAACATACACTTCCACTCTCTACCTCTCTCAAAGTTTTGAAGCCATGCCCGATAACAGACCCACATCTTTGTTTTGGATTTGATACGCTCAAAAAATCAATTCAGAAAGGCAGAAGTAATGCTAACTATAAAATAAGAGGTTGGCTGATTACAAGTGCGTCTCAACTTTGTGGAATAGGCTTCAGTATTTTTGGGAAAAAACGCGAAATATGGAAAAAACCACATACATTATGCGGATTCCCTTGCGATATCACACTCATACAAATGGGCGTAGAGTCGCGTGAAGATGTCGTCGCCGTATCGTACTCAATCGTGCAATACTCTTCAATCATGCGTTCTGAGATTCTATACAGTATCAAACAAAAATTCTCAAAATTCGAATTTTAACAAATAGATATCAGCGGAAAACCTTCGAAACTGTTCAATTAACATTTGTGAAGTACTTCTTCATTTAGCAAAACATGGCAGTTTCATGAGAAAAATCCAAAGAGGAGTACAGAGGACATTGCACCGAACTGTGTTTGTTAAGTACCACTAATAAGATCACCATATGATACACCAGTAAAAGTTAGTATTAAGATCATTGGATGGATGTGACAATAAAGGAAAGTGAAACGGCTTTATGATGAGAATTATTTAGAGGATCCTTCTTGTTTAGCACGAGTAGACCTTTTAGCAGGCGCCTCTCGAACGAGTTCAAATGCACGGTTCGACTCGTCCATTGCAGCATGGATACTGCGCAGCTGTGCAGCAATCTTCTCCACAAATGCAGGATCGTTAGCCTAATGCAATAGCAAATTTATTCACTTCACAAATGAAACTCGACAAAAGGAAAAAGAAGGATTCAACATAATGAAAAAACTCCCATCACATACATGTTGCGTCGCAAGTTCTTCATATGCGGCTTTGCAACGTTTCAAGCTTTCATGAAGCGTACGGTTGTCTCTGGTGACCAACTCCACCTAAAACGAAAAAAAATCAACAAATTGAATGCATAGACTTGTTAAAAAAAACCACTTGCCATATTGATGAGATCCGGCACATGATAATTGTGGATGTTCTCTTTATCAGCGCGAACTATAGTAAAGCGGTCGTTAAGTTCGTTACGAAGTTCTCTGGCATGATTGATGACATTGCTGAAGTCAACCTGAAACGACTACTTCTACATCAACAACAAAGCGCGCAGATAGAGCCTACAAAAACTAAATGCTAGATTCTTTTAGTAAACGCAACCATATGTGCTTGAAATGAGTCTACATGTCCCTGAAATGAAAGACAAACATTACAATACTTTCGTCGTCCTTAAAGGTCCAAGAAATTTGAAAAAGGTATGGGTAGGTGCACAAAATAAAATCCCTATCTGGCCTTGAAATTGACACCTTGAGCCGTTCTGGATCTCATCACCTTAGCATGTGTCAAATGGTGAAAAAAGTCTATCAGAATGCGACGCAAAATATACGTATATCAATAGTCAGGATAAGAAAGACTCGAGTGCAAACTATAAAGGCTAGTAGCGTTACCTTTCTAATATTAATTGCAGAGAGTTTCAGAAGAAGAGGAAAACAGAGATTACAGCAACGAATCTTGTATGGAAAGTAA